TGCTACATCAATTTATTTGGGTTGCCCTTTATCTTACAGTCTGAAGCTTAATATTAGTTAGGAAATCTACTATAGCGGAGCCTTGAAGTTTTGTTACAAAAGCATATTATCCAATCATGTGTCAACAGACTGCTTAGTTGAGATTATATTTTTCTCATAAGTATTATTATTGGTTTTGCTTTTTTTTGTTATACATGCTATAGTTTGAATGTCAAATTATCCTTATTAGAAAAAGGATAACTCATTATCTGTTCTCTGACCTCACTATATTCATAAATTACTTTAAAACGAACGCCCTAAAGATATCCACATAGCCTTAACAGAGTGTAGTGGATGTGTGATTCAAAACCAGTCTAAGATTCAGTTATTAAGAGTAAATACAAAGTAACTCTTTAAAATGTGTAAATGTAAAATGCATACATTACCATTCCACACAGGTCATAAAAATGACCAACCCACACAGAAGAAAATGAATTCCCCTAAGAGAAAATTAAAATAAGTGCACTAGTGTAATAAGATATTTAAGATATTAAAAGCACATTTGCAGTAATATTATGTTAAAAGACCGTAAAAGTAAATTTTGTATTATATTTATTTTACTTCAAAAGGACTAGAAACACAGGTCCAAACTTGGCGGTTTACACTGACGGTGCACTGTTGGTTAGGTACCTGTGTATGCATGTGTGTGTGTGCATCTAGTGTGCGCATGTGTGTGTGTGTGTGTGTGTGTGTGCGCCCGTGTGTGTGTGTGTGTGCGTGTGTGTGTGTGCATTTTGTATGTGCCTGTGTGTGTGTGTGTGTCTGTGTACATCTTGGATGTGCCTGTGTGTGTGTCTGTGTGCATCCTGTATGTGCCTGTGTGCATAATGACAAACCCTGGTTTACAGCTAAACTCAGACAGCTAAGGTTGAAAAAGGAGGAGGCATTTAGGAGTGGTGACAGGGCCGGGTGCAGGGCGTTAAAATACAGGTTTAGCAGTTCTCTGCAAACGACACCACTTGTGTCTGAGGGGGTTCAGACAGATCACAAACTATAAACCCAAAGTCCCCCACTCCATAAATGATTCTCGCCTCGCAAATAAGCTGAACCAGTTCTACTGCCACTTTGAGAGTCAATCGGACACCATCCCCCGTGACTCCTCTGCTCAGCTTCAGGCTCAGTCCACCACTTCTTCCCCTCCCTCCTCAGAGCTGGCCAGCTCCACCCCCTCCCCTCCTCTCTCCATCACAGAGAGGGAAGTCAACGGTCTTTTCAGGAGGCAGAAACCCCGCAAAGCAGCTGGGCCAGCCAGAACAGTCTGGAGCTCAACACTCTTTAGACTGTGGAGATGCTCGTTGACTTCAGAAAGAGCACAACCCCACCTACACCCATCATCCTGTGTGACTCCCCAGTCACCACTGTGGACTCCTTCCGCTTCCTGAGCACCATCATTTCCCAGGACCTCAAGTGTGGTGATAAGGTGCTGAAGAAGTTCAGCCTGCCAAAGACAATGATGGTGCACTTCTACACCACCATCATTGAGTCCATCCTTACCTCCTCCATCACCATCTGGTACGCTGCTGCCACTGCCAGGGACAAGGGCAGGCTGCAGCGTATCATTCGCTCTGCAGAGAAGGTGATTGGTTGCAATCTTCCTTCTCTTCTGGACTTGTTCGCCTCGAGGACTCTGAGGCAAGCAGGAAAGATTGCAGCTGACCCCTCCCACCCCGGACACAAACTGTTTCACACTCTCCCCTCTGGCAGGAGGCTGCGGTCCATCAGGACTAAAACCTCTCCCCACAAAAACAGTTTATTCCCATCTGCAACTAGCCTCAATAACAAGGCCCGGGTCCCCCACTGACACTCCCTCCTTGCAAATGATACAAATGTCTCTGCACATGTAAATACTGTTTCATATTGTGTTGGGCACAGACCTGGCACGTCGCCCATATTTGTTGTTGATTGTTGATCTTTGTTGTTGTATATTTTTATGTTGTCAGTTTATATATTTATGTGTACACTATATTCTCTTCCGTTGCGTTACTTCTGCACGGCATAGACCCAGAATAATGCACATGTATATATGTGTAACGTTGTTCTTCCATTCTATATTTATATATTTCTACATTTATTTTGATGACTGTATGTTTGTCTACGTGTAGCACCTTATCACCACAGCAAATTCCTTGTATGTTAAAACACTGAAGCTCCTTCTGATTCTGATCTAATATATGCGTGTGTGTGTAAATGCTCCATACTTGTATAGCGCCTTTCTAGTCTTTTCGACCACTCAAAGCGCTTTTACACTACATCTGCATTCACCATTCACACACATTCATACACTGAGCCTAAGTGCTCAAACAGAAACTAACATTCACACACATTCATACACTGGTGGAACAGCCACCAGAGGCAATTCGGGGTTCAGTATCTTGCCCAAGGACACTTCGATATGCAGCCTGGGGGAGCTGGGATTGAACCACCAACCTTCCGATTAACGGCCAACCCGCTCTAACTCCTGTGTGTGTGTGTGTGTGTGTGTGTGTGTGTGTGCGCATACGCCTGTGTATGAACATAGCACAGAGCTGATCGACATGTAAATGGCGGAGGAAGAGCAACATTAACAGAAGAAAGAAAATACACAGAACGTTATCGGACAGGCTAGTCACGGGATAACCACAGTATCCTATCGAGACATGCACTGTAACCATTAACCTGCCATATATGATAGAGTAATGAAATGAAAGGAGACGAGAAAAAACGGATGTTAATCACCGTGATACAGTCACCTGTTGCTGGGTTTGGTTCCTAGTAGACCCAGAGAGTGGTGTCTCGGATGCAGTACAGCTGGCCATCAACGTAAAGTTTATTCACCGTGATGACAGCCCGTGATCCATCTCCAAGGAAGTTTTTCCTTTAATCCTTATCGGGGACAGGACTCTGCGTTTGCACAGAATCTCCCAGGGAAACAGGTCGTTAATGCTGAAATTAGTTCCTCTCAGCTCCAGGGGCGTAGGTCCATGCATGTTTGTTTAGCTGCGTGCCACCATGTTGGAATTACTACAAAGTCTCATGAGATTAAACAAACGCTCACATTGTAATCTCACTCAAACCGTCTATCGCACCTTCAGTTTTATGAGTGAAGCTAGAGTGCATAAGAGAGGAGGTTGCCATTTTGTTTAATAACTCCCTCCCATGCAAACACGTTTTATGGGAATTTTGCTTCTTTTGAATATGTGGCTCTTCAGCTGAATTCCATTTCTCGAGTTATTTTTCTAAATATCTACAGGCCCCCTAAATACTGTGCAAACTTTTTTGATGACTTTGGTGAACTGCTGTCTATAATCTGTATTGACTTTGACTGTGTGGTTATTGTTGGTGATTTTAATATCCATGTTGACAACCCCCAGGATAGAGGGACTATAGAACTGTGTTGTGTTCTTGATAATTATGGACTGACTCAACATGTGACGGAGCCCACACACAATAAGGGGCACACTTTGGACTTAGTCATCTCCAAGGGTCTGGACATTTCCAAGGTTGTGGTGACTGATGTTGCTCTCTCTGATCATTTCTGTGTTTTCTTTGAGAGTGCTATCTGCATGCACAAAAATGTACAAACAGAGGTAATCACAAAATGGCATATCACTTGTAGATAATTTCACTTCAAAAATTGCAAATGTTATTGATGCCATTGCACCAGCCAAGGTGAAGCTGGTCTCCGGCAAGAGAAGATCTCCATGGAGAAATGCCACGCTGGTTAGAACTCAAAAGAGAGAGTGGCAAAAAGCTGAATGCAGGTGGTGGAAAACAAGTCTCCAGGTTCATTATGATGTCTATAAAGGGAGACTTCGCATTTGTAATTTAGAATTGAGAAATGCAAGACGGTCCTTCTTCTCTGACATCATCACCAAAAACACAAATAATGCAGGTGCCCTGTTTGCTACTGTCGACAGGCTAAAAACAATTGAAAGTCAGTGCTCCGCTTCTGTAATCTGTAATGATTAGAACCACAGACCAAGCCAGAAATCTTGGTGTCATGGACTCAGACCTGAATTTGAGGAGCCACATTAAGACAATTACAAAGTCAGCCTACTATCACCTGAAGAATATATCAAGGATTAAAGGACTTATGTCTCAGCAGCTGCTGATTCAGAATGCAGCTGCTTGAGTCCTCACAAAGACCAAAAAAGTGGATCACTTCACTCCAGTTCTGGGGTCTTTACATTGGCTTCCTGTCTTTCAAAGAATTGTTATCAAAATCCTGCTGTTGGTTTATAAAGCACTAAATGGTTTAGGGCCAAAATACATTTCTGATCTTCTGCTTCGTTATGAACCATCAGACCTCTCAGGTCGTCTGGAGCAGGTCTGCTGTCTGTCAACAGAGTCAAAACTTAACATGGAGAAGCAGCGTTCAGTTTTTATGCTCCGTATATCTGGAACAAACTCCCAGAAAACTGCAGGCCTGCTGAAACTGTCTTTCTTTCAAATCAAGACTTAAGACTTCTTTTTACCACTGCCTTTAATTAAATCAAATGTAAGGCTGTGGATTAATGTCTTGCACTGCAAGACATTAATCTGTTTTACACTGACTGTCCTATTTTTAAAATTTCCTATAATGTTTTTATGTTTTATGTAATGCACTTTGAATTGCCTTGTTGTTGAAATGTGCTATACAAATAAATTTGCCTTACCTAGAGTAAAGGTGAGAAGATTACCAATTAATATTAGGAATCATTATATACATTATTAATCTCTTGCTTAGGGACACATTGATGCATGTGTCAGAGTGGGGAATTGAACCCAAGTCTCTCACACCAAAGGGATGTGTCTTATCCACTGTTCCATCACCACTTAAATGTTTACATGATGAAGGCGCTACATGAAAAGTCAGGGCATCTCAAAAGTAAACGATGAATTGATGAACGTGTAAACCAAGTTTCATGGCATGATATTTTTTGTATAATGACCTTCTTTTTTAATTGTCTGTATTTGCATGTTTCTTCCTAACTCTGATGCAGGAATACACCATTGACATCTTCTTTGCCCAGACATGGTATGACAGCCGACTGAAGTTTAATAGTTCGATGAAGCTGCTCATGCTCAACAGTAACATGGTAGGCAAAATCTGGATTCCTGACACATTCTTCAGGAATTCTCGCAAATCAGACGCCCACTGGATCACCACTCCCAACCGCCTCCTGAGGCTGTGGAGCAATGGGAGAGTCATGTACACACTGAGGTAGGACAGTTTGCTAACCTTTTTGGTAGCCATTTTAAATGCTGCACAGTCAACTCTTCAAAAATCCTTGTTGTTTGTGCAGTTTTAGTTTGTGCATCTATATTTTTACTATGTAGTTCTCTTTTAGGTGACCCCAATCTATCACAGCATGACCTAATAGTCAGTATTTTTTGGTGTATTTTGGTGTAGTTACAAAGAGAACCATGAAGTACCTTTACTGTGTTCAGTCACACTTGGGAGGGGAAAAAAACATCGCTGAGACTTACTTTTTCTCTTTCATAATTCTGTTTTTGTCAGGTTGACTATTAATGCGGAGTGTTACCTTAAGCTGCATAACTTTCCAATGGATGAGCACTCGTGTCCACTGGAGTTTTCAAGCTGTAGGTGGTCAAGAGTTTTCCCCTCCTATTTTTGAACCCGCCATTTCGATTTCCGTAACTTGCCCAGAAAGAGGGGTTTCTGTATGGGCTAGCATAATGACTAAGCTTTTGTTCCTTCTCCTTGCCAAAAGGCCCATCTGCTTGAGGCTGCCCTCTCTCAGCCTGTACCAATCTATCATATGCACCACCAGCAGAGAGAGGAGGCCAACCACTTCCATTTTCTCTGACAGACTTAATGAATTATGTACCCTCTCCCAGTCTGATTCATGCCGTCTGTGTCATCCTTCATTTCTCTCTTGCATTTTGCTTTAGCTTCTCATGTCTTGTCATGATCTTAAAGGTGGGGTCAGCGATTCTAATCCAATACATGTCTTTTTGTCAGATTCAGTGAATTCTCAGATTCTTTTTACGGTCTGCTAGCTGTGACAAAACACTATTTCAGCCATTCCAGCCATGATTGTGTCAGTAACTTTAAATGACATGCCCACGGACATTCAGCTAACTTTCTAGTTCACTGAGATATGCTGTTGTTATCAGGGGTGGACTGGTAATCTGGCAAACCTCGGGCAAATGTCCGGTGGGCCGACGAACCTTTGGGCTAAAATTTACTTATTTAACTGTTACTGCCATAGAGCACGGACAGCGGGCCATGCAAAAATAACCAATATCTGCTGCAGTAGCTTCGAAATCAGGTGCAGTACCCGACGTAGTGCAGGCACAGGGACCTGAAGGAGTAAAGGAGAGCTGTGGCCACTGCCAGGCAGAGGATGAGGTGTGTGTCAGCGAAGCAGAGGAGAGTCATCGTGACAGGGCTGAGGGACAGACTGAGCAGGAGGAGAGTAGAGGTTAAGCCATATGCATGGTAAATATAGAAGAAACATCTGCGTTGTCCAAAAACAGTAACTTAAGCTAAAAAAAAATAAGCTACTGATTACTGCATTATATTCTATAATATTTTATTATTATTATTCTGATTTGTCACCGGCCACCTAAATTTGTTCTTTATAAAAATAAAGACATTTGCACCAGAAAATGGGGCTGAAAATGTCTCCAGAATACAGCAAATTAAGTGTTTAATGCTCAAAATCTTCTGGGGGAATAGATATTTTTTAATAGTATTAACATATATTCTTGTCTTGTTCTCGTGACCCCAGTCTTGTGCAATGATACGTCTCATGCACGTATTGTGTTTCATCACACGCCTAATCTGAGCCCTCAAATGTCCCCACCACTTTTCAGCACAAAGTGACGCCCTTGTGCAGGGTGTGTGCCATAGTGACAATGATGATGATTTGTTCAATTAAGGTCAACGATAATAACATAATCATAACACTATCATAAAGTGAGACTGTCACCTACTGCTGGGGATCACTCCCTGTCATACAGCGCTGCATAAGCTATTTGACGTTGTTTTTGCTAGCATAGTTTCCTAATGCAGTCTTAACTTTGGCTAACTGTCCTAATGGCTGAGGTGAGGCTAAAAATGCCAGAGCCTATTTTTTGTCCCAATCCAGCCCTGGTTGTTATGATGTTAGCTATAGCAGCAGGAGAGTTGTGAGCATCGCTGTCTGGAACTGCTGTGCTGGCTCTGGGACCGTCTCATCATTATGTTAGCTTTGTAGTAGCAGCTGTAGCCACAGTTTGCTAACCCACAACTTAGCTAACATTAGTTACAGTACATTATTGCGGTGTTGTTGATCTCTGTATATCATGGTATTTTTCATGGTTTAGGATTTTTCCAGAATCACTTACTCCACCTTTAATCTTCCACACTCTGTGTATTATATATTAAAAAAATATTGTTCAGGGCAAATGTCAGGACCAGTACAGTCACATTAAATGTCATCAAATGAGCACAAGTCATAATTTCACATACATACAGAGACCTTACCTGAAAAACAACAGCATTGGTCATTTGTTTAAATGCCTAAAAAACATAAATATTCATACAAGCAAGCATGCTCTTGCAGTTGTGCAAATAATGCTCCCTCAGTTGTATTGATGGATGTGGCATTGTTATACCAATGCATAACTTTTAAAAGAGGTGTGAAGTCAAAGCACGTGACTTCAACACCAGAGATCTTGGCCCATGTCCTTTCTTTTACAGTCAATAATGTTTTCTTTAACTATTAAGTCATCCTTTCCCATACCTTAAACATAACCACAATATTTTTCTGACTGCAAAACAAGTGGTTTTATTTGCCTATAGGATAAGGTTCAAGCTTAATTTATTTGCAGTTGTGGGTGTACAGTGTGAACAGAAGAGGGCTGAGTGCACAGCCCTGGGAGGCAGCATGAGAGTGGAGGTGTGACTAATCAATCCAAACTGTATGGTGTCCATTTTTGAGTATGCCAATTTCCAGTTGCAGAGACTCAAGCCCATTCATTTCAGAACAGTTTCATAGGGGTGTTTGTGTTGAATGCTGAACTGAAATCAGCAAACAGCATTCTGATGTAAGTGTTATTTTCAAAATGTTTAAAGACAGTGGCAGTGGAGATGGCACCCGCTCTGAATGCAGGTAAAGGTCCAGGTAGGTGCGGTGGGAAAAGTGTTTTTAAATAAACAGCTCAGGCAAACACTTGTCTTTCTGTGAATTTTATTCAAGTCTTTTGCAGACACACGCATCAGAGTAACATCTGCAGTGCTGCAGAGCTGCAGTATCTCAGCACATGCAGCTTTTATCCTAATCTCAGGGTCGGAGCACTATCTCATCAAGGAAACATGATGTCTTCGATTGGTTCCTAGGGGACACTCAACGTAAGACTATCATGTTCGGATACATGTGGTGAACCACTTAAAGTCATGACCCCCCGGACATATCATAAAGCATCACCCACATTTACCTTCCATTGACCCCATACCCAAGAGACCGGAGGTCCTCAATGACTGAGATTAGTTACATGGCAGTGTTTGGAGATGGTTCTCATGAAATTCCCATTACATTACTCCCTTTTAGCATATTATGCTAACACAACATAATGCGAATAGAAACATTTCATGTAACTTTAGCAGTACTTGAAGAGAAGGTGATGAAGAATATGACAATATAAGGAATAAAAATACAATGTAAGAAATGTAAAAATGTCAGAATAGAATATAAGACACAATGCAAACACTTTATTAATTATGCAAAATGTAAAATGAAATTACATTTGCAAAATCCAGAAGATAACTAAGAAACTTACAAATGATTCAGATTAAACTTCACTTTCATCTCCTCTGAAAGGTGGGATCCACTCCATTAAATCAATGGGTGCAGTTGGTAGTTGTTATGTACTGACCCATAGATGATTTAATTGCTGCGGCGATCATAGATCTAGCACAAGGGATAACACAGCATGTCAGGAGGAGGAAAGCACCAAGAATGACAAACAGTGTGGTCAACATTTTTATAAACACATTGTTCCATCCGCCTGTTGTCAGCCACGACCACATGTCCCATCCCCCAGTGTTCTGTGAGTCCTGACTTAGATCATTCAGGTGTGAGACAACATGAGTCATGTTGTCCGAGGCATCTGGGATGTATGTACAATAGTCCGTCCCAATTATGTGGCAAACTCCGCCTTGAGTTGCCAGCATCAGGTCCAGTGCCATTCTGTTTTGCAACGCCACATTTCTGAGGCCCTGCACAGTGGGTGTGAGGGTGGAAACGGCTCAGAGTGGGCAGGATGGTGACAGAAGTGAGCAAGATAACACGTCCCACACCGTCCAGGTCTCAAGACTAGATACACATGTTGCCCACATATCCACACGTGTTGTCTCAGCGCTCCATAGCCGCCAGAAGAAGGGATTGTAAGAACCGGGTTGTCGCTCCCTGGGCGGTTCAGTGGGGCGATGTACGGCTGTGCCCACTTGCACTCCGTCCTGGCTCCATTATCCCATGTGGTGCCGCAGGTTGCTGTAACCGTCTGCTTATATGATGATGTTCTCAGGAAACGATCTCTTGCTGTGAGACATTGTCTGGTGAAACTCACCAGTCCGGTTCGGGCTGTTGGATTCGTTGTCATGATGGGCTTGTACATGTTCTGCTCTGTTGAGACGTGTTCCAGAATCGGGTTGTGGAGTCCCCAAAGTTGACCAAGCTGATGTTACACAGTTCAAGTGCCTTGGTCATATCCTTAACTTCTCGGCCCACCCTGGGAAACCCTTGAGTGAAGGTTAACAGGGCTCCTAGTGTCTCTGAAACATTTAATGGTCTGGGTTTCACTGGTATGGAGTTCCCCACTCTATGAGGGAGCTGTGCACACGCATAACAGCTCTGATTGGTCATTTTGGTTGCATACCATGCATTGTATTTCAGCCCAGCTGGGCTGTCAGGGAGGATGTGTGACTCCTCCTCTTCGGCCTGGATCTGTCCCTCAGTCAGGCCTAAGTTTGTTGTCTCCACGTGTGGAGTTAACGACAGGACGATGATGACAGTGAGCAGAACAATGCCTCCGTTTTCTCTCGGTCTGTCACCTCTCCAGAGCCATCTGTTGATTTCTGGCATCATATCTTATCAGTTGTGTCACCTTGCCTACCCCTGTAATCAGTGTGCGCGCAGTGAGTGTTTGGGAGATTAGTGGTTCTAGGTGGTCTCAGAGACCTCCACTCCCCTCCCTCCCTAGGAACACAAGGCAGGGGAAAGCTCAGCTCACTCACTGATCTCGATCTTCTGGTCTGAGGCCTTTTGGTTGCTTTGGCACTCGTTTGCAGTGGGTGGTGTGAATCCAAGTTGCTCTTTCAGCCACTTTTACTGCTTTCTGTTTAGCAGTATCTGAAATGGTCCAGTCCACCTGCGAGCATGCCAATCCAGTCCCCTGGCTCTAGATCATGTAGTTTATTTTCTGCGGCCTTCGGGATGGTGTTTTTGACCTGTATGTGAATTAAAGAAAGCACAGAGGACAAATTAGCACAATATCTCAACATTTCTTCCTTACATTGGCTGGTATCAGGGAGTTGTCTTTTTACTGGCCCAATCCCCGTGTTCAATGGTCTGCCAAATAGGACTTCAAAAGGA